GTTGAATTCTGTTTTGGACAGAATATTCATAGAGTTACTCTTCGTTATTTTCATTAAACCTATATATGTTGGCATGTTGTGAATATCTTTCTTTTTCACCCAGTAAATAAGATCATCTTTGGACAGCAATTGACCAGATATTATGGCCAGTGTTTGTCAACCTTTCCAACTTTAAGCTGTGTGGCCTTCAATTCCCAGAATTGCCGCAGCGGGCATGCTTAAAATAATGGAGGTTGAAAAATGTGGACTTCCTTTTTTCCAGGTTTTCTTTAGCTTAGAATTGGGAACTTAATCTCTTCTCCTCCTTCCCTCAATCGGACTTTCTTTTCTCTGGCTCCCTCCACTGAGTTGGACATAGCTCCCAGCTCAACCGAGGTGGGAATTCAGCCCCTGAAGTCTACCAAGTTCACCAGAAACTGGGTCAAATACACCGGGACTCCCATTGTTTTGAATTCCTGCAACGGTCTCTGTGTTTCTTTCCAGACATGATGATCTCAAGGAGATGCTGGACAGCAACAAGGATTCCTTGAAGCTGGAAGCGATGAAGAGGATTGTGGCGGTGAGTATCTCTTCAGTGCTGTCACATCTGTTTAAGATTGTTGTTGTTGTTAGTTGCGAAGTTGTGTCCGACCCATCGTTACCCCATGGACAACATTCCTCCAGGCCTTCCTGTTCTCTACCATCCTCCGGAGTCCATTTAAGCTCACGCTGACTGCTTCAGTGACTCCATCCAGCCACCTCGATCTCTGCCGTCCCCTTCTTCTTTTGCCCTCAATCTTTCCCAGCATTAGGCTCTTCCCCAGGGAGTCCGTCCTTCTCATTAGGTGGCCAAAATATTTGAGTTTCATCTTCAGGATCTGGCCTTCTATTTAAGATACGCACCCTTTGATTCTGAGAAGATGGCCAAGACTCAACTTATGGTCCAGCATGAAGTTCTCTCCTTCTCTTTACAGAGAACAAGATCCAGCATCCCCCTCCTCTCTGGTTTGAAGGACTTGTGTGAAGGTTATCCTTTCTCCACTTAATGACCACCTTTTGTTTCCTGGTCAAAAAAAAATACAATCCCTTGAGGTTTTATGAAGTGGATCTTGAGGCCAAAAACGACTACGAGAGTGTGTCATCTCATGCTTTCTATCTAAAGCAGTATTTCTCAACCTTAGCAACTGTAAGATGAATGGACTTCAATTCCCAGAAGCCATGGCTGGCTGGGGAATTCTGGGAGTTGAAGTCCACTCATCTTAAAATTGCTAAATTGAGAAACAGATTTAAAGTTTTCAGAGAGGTAGCTTGCCATCACAAGAAGGGTCCAAAGCAGAGGTCTTCAAACTTGGCAGCTTTAAGACTTGTGGACTTCAGCTCCCAGAATTCTTCAGCCAGCAGGCTGAAGAATTCTGGGAGTTGAATCCACAAGTCTTAAAGCTGTCAAGTTTGGGGACTCCTGGTCCAAAGGGACCATAGCATTTGATGATGGACGTTCCCTACACCGCATTCTCCACTAACTAATCCCATGGCTATTTGTCCTGCCCCCAGATGATAGCTCGAGGCAAGAACGCATCGGACCTCTTTCCAGCCGTGGTCAAAAACGTGGCTTGCAAGAATATAGAGGTAAGTCATCTTGTGCATGCATTCCCTCAGTCTACACATTGCAATAAACTGAAAAAAGCAGAACCAAACTCCAGTCGTGTGGTTAGCCAACGGTGGCTCGTGGCCTAGTGCAGCATAGCCAAGGAGAGCCAGATAAGGGGGTTTCTCTGTTGAAGATGCTTCTAATTTTTTGATGGGTTTCAGCAAGGCAGAGAACCCCGTAGGTTTTCAGATTGTAATTTTTATTACCATATTTTTCAGAGTATAAGACGCACCTTTTCCTCCCCCTAAAAGGGGGTGAAAATTTAGGTGCGTCTTATACACTGAATGTAGCCCCGCCCACCCACTGGCCCCCACCCTTTGGCCTCTGCCTCCCAGCAATTTACCTCCTTGCAGCAAGCAGCAAGAAGAAACAGCCCATTTCAGCTTCAGCACAGCCTAATTAGCACAAGCTGATTGGATCGGCCTTCCGACTCTCAGCTGTTTTGCTCTCAGCTGTTTTGCGTGGGTCTCTGCTGCTTGCTGCAAGGAGGTAAATTGCTGGGAGCAGATTTTTTTTTCAGCTATGCTGAAAATGAAAGTAAAGCAGGCTATTTGCTGTTTGCTGCAATGAGGCAAAATTGCTGGGAGGCAGAGGCAGATTTCTTTTTCTTCTTTTCGTCACCAAAAAAGGTAGGTATCTCTTATAGTCCGGAGTGTCTTATACTCCGAAAAATACAGTATATGCACAGGAAGAGCCGCCAACTAAAATTTTCTGAGGGCACCAGGTTGCCTCCCTCTGGCCTAAGTAAATATTAAGTAATAATGAGAGTTTTAGTAAACTCAAAATTATTTTCTGAATAAAGGTCCATGCGACATATATGCTAATGCTGCTGGGGACTTCTGGTTTAAACCAGGAAGCAATTGTCTTGGTCCAAACCCCTGCTTAATCCTGTGGATGTTGGTTGATTATTATTCAGTTGTTAAGTCACATCCGACTCTTCGCCAAGCGGAAGGGGTTGATAGCTGAAGGAAGAGCATAAGCCAAGTTCTCAGTTCCGGCCTGATCCTTCTTGCCATTTTCCTGCCAGGTGAAGAAACTGGTTTACGTCTACCTTGTCCGATATGCAGAAGAACAGCAAGATTTGGCCTTATTATCAATCTCGACTTTCCAGCGAGGACTCAAGGTTGGTCATTGATCTACTCGGAGGACAATCCTTCTTGTAGGGCGTGTGCCGATACAGAAGGTCTTCGAATTAGGACTGTCATCGGGACTACAGTCATGATATGGTCATAAAGGGATCAGACCGGACTCAATTTTGCGACTTTTCTTTTGTGGCAAACCCAGCAGTCCGTCGTTAAGCAAGCCGATTATTCACTCGGGGCCAGCAAAATCGTCATAAATAGTGGCCACATGACACTGTAAATCAGGGGTCTCCAACCTCTGGGAGTTGAAGTCCACAAGTCTTAAAGTTGCCAAGGTTGGAGACCCCTGCTGTAAATGACTGTAAATGCGAGCCAGTTGTCGCACGACCACAGGGGAACACCTGATGTTGGGAGATCAGGTTGTAAGTAGCTCTTGGGGTACCTGTTGTAATTTTGAACTGTCACTAAGCAACTGGTCGTAAGTCGAGGACTACTTGTAACGGGGACAGGAGTGGAATGGGATGTCCGAATGCGTTGAGCACTGGAGGTGGTTGCCTCCGACATCCAACAGGTTTACCTGTGTCCTTATGAAAGCGGGGTTCGCTTGAAATCTTCCACCTGGGAAGAATGTTTGGCTGTCCTTTGAGGGTCTCCTTCCCAATTTCTTCTTGGCTCCAGGATCCCAATCAGCTGATTCGAGCCAGCGCCCTCCGGGTCCTCTCCAGCATCCGTGTCCCCATCATTGTCCCCATCATGATGTTGGCCATCAAGGAGGCGGCATCGGACATGTCTCCGTATGTGCGCAAAACCGCAGCTCACGCCATTCCTAAGCTGTACAGGTAAGGGGTGATCTCTTCCGAAACATGGCTTGGTTGTGCCAATTGCAGCTGTTGAGAGATTTGGGCAGCAGGCAAGGGTGCAAAAACCAAGGTCTTTTGAGGTTCCTTGATCTAGAGGTGAAGGCATCAGACTAGAAACCAGGAGATGGTGAGTTCTAGTCCCGCCTTAGGCCTGAAAGCCAGTGGTTGACTCTGTGCCAATCAGCAGGAGACTGTGAATTCTAGTTCCACTTTAGGCATAAAATCCAGCAGGTTGATTTTGGGCCAGTCACCAGGAGATGGTGAGTTCTAGTCCCGCCTTAGGCCTGAAAGCCAGTTGGTTGACTCTGTGCCAATCAGCAGGAGACTGTGAATTCTAGTTCCACTTTAGGCATAAAATCCAGCAGGTTGATTTTGGGCCAGTCACCAGGAGATGGTTGAGTTCTAGTCCCGCCTTAGGCCTGAAAGCCAGTTGGTTGACTCTGGGCCAATCACCAGGAGACTGTGAATTCTAGTCCCACTTTAGGCATAAAATCCAGTAGTTTGATTTTGGCCCAATCACCAGAAGATGATGAGTTCTAATCCTGCCTTAGGCTTAAAAACCAGTTGGTTGACTGTATGGGCCAATCACCAGGAGACTGTGAATTCTAGTTCCACTTTAGGCATAAAATCCAGCCGGTTGATTTTGGGCCAATCCCCAGGAGATGGTGAATTCTAGTCCCACCTTAGGCCTGAAAGCTGTCTGGGTGAGTTGGACCAATCACCAGGAGATGGTGAGTTCTAGTCCTGTTTTAGGCATAAAAGCCGGGTGGGTAACTTTGGGCCAGTCCCTCTCTTTCTCAATCCAATCCACCTCACAGGGTTGTTGTGGGGAAAATAGGAGGAGGAAAGAGTATTAGATATATTTGCTGCCTTGAGTTATTTATACACATAATAAATGCAGGGTTTTAAAAAAATCTAAATCTAATCGGTTAGATATAAGTGCTAAAGCAAGTGACCAAGAGGCTAGCACACAGGTGTTAAATACCGTATTACAGTGTGCTTGGCTTACATCCTTTTGACCGCCTGTTTGCACAGGGGTGTGCAAAATTTCTGGCCCGGTGCCATGTTTGTTCTTTGAAAAGTATGCAGGGAGGCACCTTCCCATAGCATAACAGAGCAAGGACAAATACACCAGAAAGCAGGGTAAAAGCTAAATAAATATGGGGAGATTAAATAAATTCATTTTCATTAAAGACACTTAACACGATGGGTTTAATGATGGTCTCCTTTTGTGGGAAGGAATTGGGGAAAGCCCTGGAGTGACTGCCAAAGCTTTTGAGGGTGTCATGTGGTCCTAGATTTTACTGTGGGCTTTTGTGCCTTAAACACAACTTAACGGCTTAACACACTGTAAGCCGCCCTGAGTCTCCGGAGACGGGCGGCATATAAATCAAAATTAAAAAAAACACACACACACACAGACACACAACATATATACAGACAGGCGTGTTTCCGTGTGAATGAAGGGATGAAGTTGGCCTGTGAATTTCAAACAGTGAATCGTGTTTAAATGCATCTCTTTGTCTTCAGCTCACGGGCCAAAGCTCAGCCCAACATGAAATAATTCACATTATGGTCGGGACACAGTGTGTTGACTCAGCCTTTAAGAAAAAGTCTATGCACCCAATGGCTTTGTCTGTTCCTTGCAGCCTTGATTCAGACCAGAAAGACCAGTTAATTGAGGTCATTGAGAAGCTGCTGGCCGATAAGACCACGGTGAGTAACACTGTCTCTGGAGATAAGGGAAGAAAATTGAGAAAGGAAAAAAAAAATGAATTTGCAAAACGCTTTAGGAATGGCATCTTGAGATAGCATTTCCCAACCCTGGTTGACTCCCAGAATTCCACAGCATGCTGAGAAGGGGATCCTGGGAATTGAAGTCCATGCACTTTTAACATTATTAATGCTGGTTCGAATCTCACCAGGCTCAAGGTTGACTCAGCCTTCCATCCTTTCTAAGGTAGGTGAAATGAGGACCCAGATTGTGGGGGCAATAAGCTGACTTTGTATAAATATACAAAAATATGAAGGCTATTGCTTAACGCATTGTAAGCCGCCCTGAGTCTCCGGAGAAGGGCGGCATATAAATCAAATTTAAAATAAAATAAAATATATTTATTTTATTTATTTTGTTTTATTTCTATACCGCCCTTCTCCTGCGGGACTCAGGGCGGTCTACAGCCAGGATAAAACATAGCATATAAAATTTAAAAAAACATTTTAAAAAACAATTAAATAATTTTGGCCCGAATTTAAAACAACCCAATTAAAACCGAATTCGATTAAAAAACTGAGAGGATGGGATCAAGGATGGGATGGGAATATTCATAAGGCAGTGGTGGGATTCAAATAATTTAACAACCGGTTCTCTGCCCTAATGACCAACTGGGTGGGTGTGGCTGGGTGGGCGTGGCCAACTCGATGTCACTCATGTCAAGCGGGGCTTCACCTCGCCTGGCCTCTTGTGACCATGGGGGATGCTACAATGGTCGTAAGTGTGAAAAACAGTTGTGTCACTTTTTTCAGTGCCTTTGTAACTTTGAATGGTCATTAAATGAACTGTTGTAAGTCAAGGATACAAAAATACAAAAAGCTTCTAGGCTTGCAAAAAGCTGCCCTAAATACCAATCATTAGATTAGAAATACCTGCAAGCTGGAGTTACAAATCGGGCAGGGTGCCAGAGCACCTTGAAGAATTAAAATAGTTAAAATGCAGTGATAACTTTTATCAGCTGCCAACGCTTGCTCATAAAGTGAAACCCTTTGGCAGAGAGGTCATTTAAGCTCTCCAGAAAGAGCACACCCAAGTGAAGAAATCCTTAGGACCATTTGCACCACTTAAAGATACCAGCTGGTCTCACTCACCTCACAAGATATCCTAAGGAAATCATCCAGATTTAAGGAAAGATCACATGCCCCCCAGAAAGACAGTAAAAAAAATGCCAAGCTTGCATCCTGCCTCTTGGAAGTACACCCCAAAAGGACAGTGCCAGAACCACTAAAGCAGGGAAGGAAGACCCCCTCCCCAGATAGAAAAACCATGAGGCAGGAAAAAAAATCCAATATCTTCATAAACTGCTTAGATGAGGGAATAGAAGGGGAACTCACCAAATTTGCAGATGATACTAAGCTGGCAGGAATAGCCAACACCCTAGAAGACAGGCTCAAGATCCAAATGGATCTTGATAGACTTGAACACTGGGCCCTATCTAACAAAATGAAATTCAATGTAGAGAAAAGTAAAGTCTTACACTTAGGTAAGAAAAACCAAAAGCACACATATAAAACTGGGGGAAACTAGGCTTAATAGCAGTGACTGTAAGAGAGATCTTGGAGTCTTAGTGGACAACCAGCTAAATATGAGCCAGCAGTGTGCAGCGGCAGCTAAAAAAGCCAACGCGATCCTAAATTGCATAAACAGAGGGACAGAATCAAGATCAAATGAGGTACTAATACCACTCTATAAAGCCTTAGTAAGACCACACCTAGAGTACTGCATCCAGTTTTGGTCACCACACTATAAAAAAGATGTTGTGACTCTAGAAAAAGTGCAGAGGAGAGCAACCAGGATGATGAGGGGCTTGGAGGCTAAAACATACGATGAACGGTTGAAGGAACTGGGCATGCCTAGTCTAGTGAAGAGAAGCTGTTTTCCAAAGCACCCAAAGGCCAGACAAGGAACAATGGATGGAAACTGAACAAGGAGAGATTCAACCTAGAAATAAGGAGGAATTTTCTGACAGTGAGAGCAATCAACCCATGGAACAGAAGTTGCCTTTGGAAGTTGTGGGAGCTTCATCACTGGAGACTTTCAAGAAAAGATTGGACTGCCATTTGTCAGAAATGGTGTAGGGTCTCCTGCTTGAGCGGGGTGGGGGGGGTGTTGGGTGTTGGACTAGATGACCTACAAGGTCCCTCCCAACTCTGTTAATCTATTAATCAAACACAATACAAATACTTAAATCACAACCATTTAAATCCTTTTAAAACTAAAACACAAGCTCATTGCCTGAGCTCACTCCCCAGGCAAGTTCAAGTGTAAACACTTGAGATAAGCCTAACAACAAAGAAAGCAATTAGCGCTAGATTGAAGCAAAGGAGCAAACAGAGTATCTGTTGCTTGTTAAACTATTACCAGAACAAATAGACACAGGAACTAGCCAGGTTTCTGAATCCTCCTCCTTTTCAAGCACAGAGATTAACCTTTTTCCTTCCAAACAAAGCTGAATAGGAAAAATTATCCCATCAATAAACACAGGATTAAACGTCACTAAAAACCAGTTTTAGACCAAAACTCAGAAAGGGTATGTAAACTCATGTTTGAACGTCAATCTTTCTAGCTAGCCAAGAAGCCTTGCTGAATGTCACTCTTGGTTCCTTGTCATGAAAGCTTCTTTCCGGCAGCTCTGCTTCATTATTAAATCATTTCTTCAAAGTGCTGGGGAGTATTTCCTCCCAACAGCAGTGTAAAAGCTTAAAACAACTCTTCCCCTTTAAGAAAGTCAAGCCCCAGCAAAGCCCTAGCAAGGGGGGGAAGAAAATCCCCTCCGGAGTCAGTAAATTTGGGCATACTGCCAAGAACCTTTCACTGTTAGATGTAATAAGAGTTAACTGAGAGGCAGTTTCTGTAAGCAGGGCAATAAAGTTTAGACTCTTACAGAATTAGCCCTGTAAAGTGGGAAAAAAACAAAAGGAGATTTTTTTCCAACAACTGGTTCTCCGAATTGCTTAGAAAGTTAACAGCCGGTTCTCCCGAATAGGTGCGAACCAGTAAATTGAGCATGACTGTTTTAGATTAATAGGTTACCCAAGTGATACTGTTTGAATTATGAGCTGCAGTGCTGTACTTACGAGACCGCCTTCTGCCACCAATAGCCTCCCACCGGCCAGTACGCTCCCACAGAGTGGGCCTCCTCAGGGTGCCGTCCGCCAGACAATGTCGGCTGGCGACCCCCAGGGGGAGAGCCTTCTCTGTGGTGGCGCCCACCCTCTGGAACAACCTTCCCCCAGAGTTACGTACAATAACAGACCTCCGGATTTTTCGTCGGGCCCTGAAAACCCATTTATTTCAACTAGCTGGGCTGGCTTGAGTCAAATTTTAAACTGATTTTAAATTGGAATTGTTTTAATCACGGCCAAAAGATTTAATTATTTTAATCAGTTTTTAGATTTTGTATGTTTTGTATGTATGTCTTGTTTTTATTTTCGGCTGTTCACCGCCCTGAGTCCTATATTGGAGAAGGGTGGTATAGAAATTTAAACAAATAAATGAAATAAATAAATAAATAAATACTTCTGCTGCCTGCCGGCTTCCTGTAATTTGGCAGTTCGAATCTCACCAGGCTCAAGGTTGACTCAGCCTTCCATCCTTCCGAGGTGGATAAAATGAGGAGCCAGATTGTTGGGGGCAAGAGGCTGACTCTGTAAACCGCTTAGAGAGGGCTCTAAGTCTAAGTGCTATTCCTTCCTTCCTTCCTTCCTTCCTTCCTTCCTTCCTTCCTTCCTTCCTTCCTTCCTTCCTTCCCAGTGGTTAGAATGCAGTATTGCAGGCTAACTGCCCACAATCAGGAGTTCAAGCCTCACCAGACTCAAGGTTGACTCAGCCTTCCATCCTTCCAAAGTGGGTAAAATCGGGACCCAGATTGTTGGGGGCAATAGGCTGACTCTGCAAACCGCTTAGAGAGGACTGTAAAACACTGTGAAGCGATATATAAGTGTTATTGATAGTGCCCTTCCTTCCTTCCTTCCTTCCTTCCTTCCTTCCTTCCTTCCTTCCTTCCTTCCTTCCTTCCTTCCTTCCTGTGGTTAGAATGCAGTATTGCAGGCAAACTCTGCCCACAACCATGGGTTCAATCCTGACCGGCTCAAGTTCGGCTCAGCCTTCCATTCTTCCGAGGTCGGTAAAAATGAGGACCCAGATTGTTGGGGGCAAAAGGCTGACTCTGTAAACCGCTTAGAAAGGGCTGTAAAGCACTGTGAAGCGGTATATAAGTCTAAGTGCTATTATTAGGCGCCGGATAATCCATAAAACCTCATGCTTCATTTTTGTGTTCAGGGTGCTACAAGAGTTTAAAGAAGGATGAACTGATAGGGAAGACTAAACAAAAAAAATTCCATTTTAAAAAGGGACTTACAGTCACTTGGTCTCCTTTAATAGGGCCAAGAAAGAGCCTTCTCACAATAGTGGAAGAAATCTACAAAAGACGCTTGCTCCCCTCCTCCCTCTGAATCTGCCCACGCTCTTCATTTGTGACTTGTGTTCTCTGTCCTCTTGTCCAGTTGGTGGCTGGCAGCGTGGTGATGGCCTTCGAGGAAGTCTGCCCTGAGCGCATTGACCTTATTCACAAGAATTACCGCAAGCTGTGCAACCTGCTGATCGATGTGGAGGAATGGGGCCAAGTGGTGATCATTAACATGCTGACTCGCTATGCTCGCACCCAGTTCCTCAGCCCCAACCTGAATGTGAGTCAAGGAGCAGGTGACATAGATGTCCCCCTATCACAGGGGTGTCAAGGTTGATTTCATTGAGGGCCACATCAGGGTTGTGTTTGACCTTGGGGGGGCTGGGTGTGGCTGAGGTGGGCGTGGCCAGCTTGACATCACTCATCGAGACCGCCTTCTACCGCATAACTCCCAACGACCGGTAAGATCCCACAGAGTCGGTCTCCTCCGGGTCCCGTCAGCTAAACAATGCTGGCTGGCGGGCCCGCAGGGGAGGGCCTTCTCTGTGGCTGCCCCGGCTCTCTGGAACCAGTTACCTCCTGAGGTCCGGACCATCCCCACCCTATTGGCCTTCCGGAAAGCGGTGAAGACCTGGTTCTTCCGGCAGGCCTGGGGCCGTTGATCTCGCTCTTGCGATCCGGCGAGATCCGGCCATGAATGGTGTGAATGAGTTTTAATGTTTTTAATGTTTTTAATTCTTAAATGTTTTTTATAATGATTTTAAATGCATTGTGAGCCGCCCTGAGTCTTTGGAGAGGGGCGGCATACAAATTGAATAAATAAATAAATAAATAAAATCGTGGCTCCATTTTTGGCCGTGATGGCCCCCAGATCTCTGCCAGCAAAAATGGAGTTCGGAGGTGGGGGGGGGTGGCCTGCCCGGACTCCATGTTTGCTGGCAGAGGGTTGCAGGAGGCTGTTGAAGCCGAAAACAGCTCGGGAGGGCTGTGCAGAGGCACCGCGGGCCAGTCTTTTGCTGTTTCCAGGGTGGCCCCCTGGGCCGGATCTGGGCCCCGGGCCTTTAGTTTGACACCCCTGCCCTATCAGATCCTATAGTAGCTCCCTGAATAGGATGTGGTGCTTTATCCAAGTATGATTCTCAAAGGATTCTGTTTAGCAAGATTTATTGAGATGGGTTGGAGGTTAGCAAGCCCGCGTTCGAGACCCAAAGTGCTGCCATGAGGCGGGGTGAGTTTCCATCCTTTGCTCCAGCTCCTGCTGAGGACATAAAAGGACCCCCCCCCCGCCCAACTGGGCATCTCACGGGCAACCGTGATGTCACCAGCTAATCCTTTCAACCCGGAAGCACCTCAGTGCTTCTGACACGATGCAGTTGAGATGGGAAAGGGGTAGTGTGGTGGAATGCAGTCTGGATTCCCTGGAGGGAGGAGCTGCATTCCAGAGGAGTAAGAGACGGCCAAGTCTGGTTGGGAGGGGAAAAAAAAAGAGTTAAGAAGCAATTCTCAGAGTGAATGCCAAGAGTGAACTGGGCCTGGTGGCTCAGCAGACTGATAGCATTGTGATTAACACCAGCTGTCTGCAATTACTGTAAGTTCGAATCTCACCAGGCTCAAGGTTGACTCAGCCTTCCATCCTTTCAAAGGTAGGTGAAATGAGGACCCAGATTGTGGGGGCAATAAGCTGACTTTGTATAAATATACAAAAGTATGAAGGCTATTGCTTAGCGCATTGTAAGCCGCCCTGAGTCTCCGGAGAAGGGCGGCATATAAATCAAAATGTTTTTTTTTTAAAAAAATTGCTTTGGTTTGGCAGGATTTCTGTCTGTAGGTGAGGAGAACAATAAAGGAAATTGCTCAGAAGTCCTTCCACGGGTCTTTCTTGGTTCTTGGGTCCTGACAGGCAGGGGTACAAGAATCCTAACAAGGGAACATATTTTCAACTTAAAATCAATGTATCCCAGAGGGACATTACAACGGAAATGTTCTGAATCTCTTTCTCAGAGACTTAATGGTGCATTGGAGAAAAGGTTATGGAGAAATCAACAAACTGGTTATTTACATTCCCTGAATCTTTTCTCAGTTCAAACATTCAACCGTAATACTGTCAGGGTGACTGGGGGTCAGAGTTATTAGCCATGAGAACTTGAAGCATCTAGATTTCAAGGGCACCCTACCTGTTTTTGCGCAAAACTGCCCCCCTCTCCCCCCAGGGCCTTGTTATGTTCTTAGAACAGGATGTCCCAGTTCCCACCGCATGTTCGATTTGTCTAGAACAGAGCCGAATAGCTTGTGATTGCAAGAAGCACAATTGTCTTTGTATACTCGGTGACTCAGACCATCCCTACTGAACCAAAATGCGATTTATTTGTTCTTGGGAGTCTAGCATATTATGCAAAAAGTAAGCCATTTTATTTCACGTAACGATGGGAACTAAATCAGACGATCGGGTTGAGGGCTCAATGAGCCCAACTAAAGGAGCGATGTAGAGCAGGTTAGAGGTTGCTTGCAGATTGGGGTGGGGACAAAGGACCATGCGCTCCACCTCAAATACCTTTCGTTGTTTTCTGATGGACAGGAATCTCTGCTGGAGGAGAGCGCTGAGAAAACCTTCTACGGATCCGAAGAAGAAGATGCCAAAGACGACAAGGCCAAGTCAACGCCCTTGGCAAAGCGCAAGCCTTACGTGATGGATCCTGACCATCGGTTACTACTGCGCAACACCAAACCCTTGTTGCAAAGCCGCAATGCTGCAGTGAGCCCTTTTTCTGGGGTTGGGGGTTGGGGGGAAGCTTGCCTTGAAAATTAAGAAGCCCCCTCCCCTCTCTTGGGGGGGGCACCAAAACGGGTGAAAAAGAAAAGAAGAAAGGGAGATAGACCCTATGCAAGGGCATTCTCAGTAGTCATGCCAATTGAACTTGAAGGTTGTGGCTGGCCTCAGAAAAGGGGGCAGGGCCAATAGGAATGGGGTGGAGCTAGCTGAACCCTAGTGAAAATAGTAGAATAGAATAGAATAGAATAAAATAGAATAGAATAGAATAGAATACAATACAATACAATACAATACAATACAATACAATAAATACAATAAATACAATAAATACAATAAATACAATACAATAAATACAATGCAATAAATACAATACAATACAATACAATACAATACAATACAATACAATACAATACAATACAATTCTTTATTGGCCAAGTGTGATTGGAGACACAGGGAATTTATCTTTGGTGCATAAGCTCTCAGTAGACATAAGAAAATATACATTCTTCAAGAATCATAAGGTACAACACTTAATGATAGTCATAGGATACAAATAAGCAATCGAATCATACTAGGAAACAATATAAATCGTAAGGATACAGCAACAAGTTATAGTCATAAGTGGGAGGAGATGGGTGATAGGAACGATGAGAAGATTAATAGTAATAGTAATGCAGACTTAGTGAATAGTTTGACAATGTTGTGGGAATTATTTGTTTAAGAGAGTGATGGCGTTCGGGAAAAAAATGTTCTTGTGTCTAGTTGTTCTGGTGTGCAGTGCTCTATAGCGTCGTTTTGAGGGTAGGAGTTGAAACAATTTATGTCCAGGATGCGAAGGGTCTGTAAATATTTTCATAGCTCTCTTTTTGACTCGTGCAGTACACAGGTCCTCAATGGAAGGCAGGTTGGTAGTAATTGTTTCTTTCTGCAGTTCTAATATACCTAATCTAATATAGTATATTATATAATATACTGCTTCACAGTGCTTTACAGCCCTCTCTAAGCGGTTTAGAGTCGGCCTCTTGCCCCCAACAATTTGGGTCCTCATTTACTGACCTTGAAAGGTTGGAAGGCTGAGTCAACCTTGAACTGGTCAGGATCGAACTCCTGGAGTGAGCAATGAGTTAACCTGCTATACTGCATTCTAACCACTGCATGGCTCTTACTTTTCTCTCAGTCTTGAACATCTTAAAGTGAAACTTGACCTTATTCTGTGAAAAAAAACCAATTATCTGGTGGCAATTCTTACCCATCCTGAGTGTTGATAACTTTGACACAAGTTTCAGGCATTACTTAAGAATTTTGGGCAAGAAGAACAGATGATTTCTGAGTTTTCCCTTCCTCCACGGAGTATTTTCTTTTTTCTTACTGGTCTGCTGTCCACCCCAGATTCCTTGCATTTGGGTATTTTGGATGTTCTGCGTTCAGCTGATTCTTCTTGATGGCCTTATTTCATTTTGGTGACTACAGCAAGCAGATGAACATCTCTGGTGGTTCTACCGGCTTGTGTCACAATGACCTTCTCTGTTTTTCAGGTGGTGATGTCAGTTGCTCAGCTCTACTTCCATCTTGCTCCCAAGGCTGAAGTTGGGGTCATTGCTAAGGCCCTGGTGCGTCTCTTGAGAAGCCACAGGTCTGCAGATACTTCCTTCCCACTTTCTACAGCCCCAGAACCTCATTTTCCTTTTTCTGATGTGTTGTTTCAGCAAAGTGACCAAATCGGGGCATTTCTGCCAGTTTCCAACAACTCTGGATTGCGTCTTGTTTTGTCATAATGTTGGGAACCTGGATGTCCCTTAGAAAGGGACAAAATACTATAGTATAAGATGGCTCTTTTCAATGTCCCAGGCATTTCCCCCTCACAAGGTTCCAGTCCATTCATTCTTTCCCTTTTTTCCATCTCCACTTCCCCAAAGTATACTATTTGTAGATGTTAAGTTGCTATCAGTTATATAGCCATCAGTTTAATAAGTTTTTTCTCAAACTAGCACTGTAGTACACAGGTATTCCAACTCCTATCTGCTGGCTAGAAATGGGAGTTGTAATTCCATCACTTCTGGAGAATAATTGATTGAAGGAAAGTAGATATTCACCAAAATTCTTAGACAAACTAAGGTCAACCCTATTTTTGATGAAAACAGATCTCAAGACGGTCCAACCTGATTAATGTCTGTCCGTCTGTCTGTCTGTCTCTCTGTCTTGCAGTGAGGTTCAATATGTGGTGCTTCAGAATGTGGCCACCATGTCCATCAAGCGTAGGGTAAGTGCCTCTTTTCTAGGTGGGAATTATTCACATAATGTGGGCCCAGGTTTTATGGAGGTCTGTCACGTTCCACTTATTCCATTTGTCAGAGAGGGAGCAATTATAAATCCCGAAGAGAATCTTTTTTGACTTCTAGAAACCCAGAGAACCTTGCAGATTTTTTTAACTGAATCTGTTTCTCTCTCTTCTTCTTCCTCCTCCGCCGCCTCCTCCTCCTCCCTCTCCAGGGAATGTTTGAGCCCTACCTCAAAAGCTTCTACATCCGATCAACTGATCCCACCCAGATTAAGATCCTCAAGGTATATTAGATGTTTGGATATCCCGTACCCCCAAAATATACTGTATTTTTCGGAGTAGAAGACGTACCTTAGTTTTTGGGGAGGAAAATAGGAAACAAAAATTCTGCCTACCAGGTATTCATCTGGCTAGCGTCCTTAGTCTGGTCAGCTTCAGCACATTAGTTTGCTGGTTTTGAGTGTTAGGGATAAAAAACAGCTTCTAAAGCACAGCTGATCTTTGGAGAGAGAAGCAATGAGAAAAGCAGGCTAAGCAGGGAAGATTGCTTCACTCGTTAGGGCTGAAAAAAAGCTTCACAGCTGAGAGTCGGAGGGAGCAGGCAAAGAATAGATTGCTTCACTCGTTAGGGCTGGAAAAAAGCTTCGAAAAACTACATTTGGAGTATAGGACACACCCAAATTTTCAGCCTCTTTTAGGGGGAAAAAAGTGTGTCTTATACTCTGAAAAATACGGTATCTGTTTCCAAATAACACTTTTTTTTCCTTTTCAATATTAAAAACTACCAACTAAAGCAGAGATGGGAAAAAAAAAGACATTAAAAGTGAAAGATTGACAATATTGTATGTTAATGGTGTTAATCTATGATGAAAATTATATAGGGTACAAAGCCCTAATGTGACTTATTTTCACTAATCCTAAACTGATGGATGGACCCAGCTATGTTCATTAGTAAAGCATGGTTTGCTGAATGTTACATCTGAAACGGGCCACATGGCTTATTGAACCATGGCTTAAGGTCTTTTTGTGTCCTCTCAAAAAGCAGACTATATCTAAGTAAGAGATGCATAATCATACACCAGCTACAAACCTAATAGTGAGATTTACCCCATGTTTATTATTTAGGACAAAAATGAATGAAAAAGAAGAACTTTCTAGTGTCCCCAACACGTTGTTGGCTGTTTAGTTTTTCTCTTTAGAGGACAGCTAGCAAATTCTCTTCAAGTTTTCCTATTATTTAATTTTGCTGTGGCCTAACTGCCAATCTTTATTTGGCTTAGCTCTAATTATTTGTTTGCATTTCTGCATGCTCAAAGAAGCAATGATATTAAAAGACGTTTAAACTTCACCCGTTCTGCTTTTCCCCCCCTATCCTGCCAGCTGGAAGTTTTGACCAACTTGGCTAATGAAACAAACATTTCTACCATTTTGCGGGAATTTCAGGTAATATATAGAAAATTGTTGCCCAGAGTGATTTTCCACCTCAGGGTATAATGTATATAATAATGAACTTTTCTATCTGAAGCAATTATTCTTTTTGTTTTGATGTATTTTTATTAAAAATGTTTAAAGAAAATATTAAAAAGGGAAGGGATAAAGGAGTAAAATACAATAATTTATTGACATAGAGATTATAATGTTTCAGTATATCATGAATTGTTTGTGACCAATTAAATATATTGATTTAAAGCTTGAATATCCCTATTAAGTTCAAAGCAAGCCTAAATACCAGGAAACATTGCTAGCAAAGCATAAAATGTAAAACAAAATTGCGAGCTGTAATAAATGCTGTCCAGGCTACTAAAAAATCACCTCTAATTTAGAAGTCCTATAAAATTAAAACATATTCCAAAAGAATATGAAGAGCCTTGATAGTACAGTGGTCTAAGCACCCTGTTATTAACACAGCTGCCTGCAATTACTGCTGGTTCGAATCTCTCCAAGGCTCAAGGTTGACTCAGCCTTCCATCCTTTCTAAGGTAGGTGAAATGAGGACCCAGTTTGTGGGGGCAATAAGCTGACTTTGTATAAATATACAAAAGGATGAAGGCTATTGCTTAACGCTCTGTAAGCCGCCCTGAGTCTCCGGAGAAGGGCATATAAATCAAATTTAAAAAAAAAGAAGAAGAAGAAGAAGAAAGGCATTTGGGATGTGGTACAAATCCATCTATTGAATTGTAGTCTAGGAAGGATTTTCGGGTTGAATTAAGTTCCGTGGTACGTTTACTTTTGAAATACGAAATTAATCTAGACATGAAAGCAAACTCCCAGCTGTTAGGATTTTTTCCCCTCTATGGAAGAAAACCTGTTTCAGCTCCAAGGAGAATATTCAACCTGATCAGTGGTTCTCAACCTGTGGTCCACGGACCTATAGAGGGCCGTGATGTCACAGGGGGTCCGCGAAGTCTTGAAGAAATGTTATTTAAATCTTGAGTTAAGTTTTGGGGGTCTGTGGCCATGGTTCATGGCCACAACAGGTATTTAAAGGGATTGGTGAAGGAAAGGTTTGAGAACCACTGGGCTAGATCAATCCTATATAGGATTGGGTTTAGGATACAGATGGGATTAGGATACGTTGGGCAAGATGTTTGTTCCTTCTCTTCCTGCAGACTTACATCCGGAGCATGGATAAAGACTTTGTGGCAGCCACAATCCAGGCTATTGGCCGTTGCGCCACTAATATCGGCCGAGTTCGGGACACGTGTCTCAACGGACTCGTTCAGCTGCTCTCCAACCGAGATGGTGAGATCACGCTCTTCGAATCGACATAATGTCTTGCAATAATGTGGACAAATCACAGGACGCACTCTGGTGTGTGTGTGTGTTTGTGCGTGTGCATTTGTGTGTGGTTATACTCCAAAGATGATGGAACCAGGTCAAAAAATGGATAGCACTGTGATGCAGGCAATATTTTTGATGGATGGATTGATTAAAATTGAAATCTTTCCCCCCTCCCCCAACTCACACCAATGAAACTCTGGATGGCATATTATCAATATAAAAAAGAGTTCAAGTGCAATTAGACCAGTGGTGAAATGTAAAATTTGTTACTATCGGTTCTGTGGGTGTGGCTTGGTGGCGGGGTGGGTAATGTGACGGTGGGCGTGGCCAACTTTTTTTTTTTAACTTTTAAAAGCATTTTTTTCTACAATCTTAAGAGATTGCAGAAAAAATGCTTTTAAAAGCCTCTGACGATCAGGCAACTCAGCTGGGATCGCCAGAGGCTTTTAAAAGCATTTTTTTTTTCTACAACCTCTTCGGACTGTTGTATACTACACCTTGTAAGACCGCCTCCCTTCCCACCATCCTTCCACCAATTCCATTAAAAATGGCCCTTTTCCCCCACACATGGAAATGGAAAACTAGTGGCCACTTTCAAAGGGGCTCTGGAGGTGATGAGGTCTAGTTTTAGATCTCAGGTGTGCACTGCATCCATCTAGATCAGGGGTGTCAAACTGGATTTCTTCGAGGGCCGGAACAGCATTGTAGTTCTCCACTGCGGGCCGGCCGGGAGGGGGGAGACAGGACGGACACCTCCTGAAGCTCCCTGCCAGCCAAAATGGGATGTGGGGGGGGCGTGCAAGACTCCCGCACCCCTGAATGGTCTCCTGCAGCCGGCAAAGTGCTGCAGGAGGCCATCCAGGCCGAAAACGGGCTGTGCGGGGGCTGCATGCACACACACACCCCCGCACCTCATTCTGGCTGCCAGAGGCACCACGGGCCGGTCCTTTGCTATTTCCAGCCTGGCCCCGCAGACCAGATTTAAGCACCCACAGGCCAGATCCGGCCTGTGGCCCTTGAGTTTGACACCCCTGATGTAGATTATCCCCATTTAAACCAGAAACTAGAATCCTGTGCTGTTTCTGAGGTCGTAGGTTAAGAAAGGGAGGCCAGGTATCTGACTCATTGCCATGTTCTCGAGAGGAAGTCTTGTGAAGTTGCCTGTGATGGCTTTCTCAGATCTCCTGAGACCTTTATCTCATTTTCTCCAAGAGTTGAGCTGGTCTGGTTTATGTCTACCGTTGTATTTTCTCTATCATCCTACTTAGAACTGGTGGTGGCCGAATCAGTCGTGGTCATTAAGAAGCTTCTACAGATGCAGCCATCTCAACACAGTGAGATCATCAAGCATATGGCCAAGCTGACAGATAACATCCAGG